CTGCCTGGGGATGGATGATGAGGCATCTGAAAGCTTATGGATAAGGATTAAAGAGCAGACTAATATGGGTGACATTGTTTTGTTTTAGCTGTCTGCTACAGGCCACTTGGTCAGGAAAAACAAGTAGATGAGACCTTGACAGTGAGAAGTAGCTTCTCATTCACAGGCTCTATTGCTCATCGTGGTCTTTAACTGTCCCAATATCTTCTGGAGGGTCAGCAGAGCAGGTTCTAAGCAATCCAGGAGGTTCCTGACACAAGTAATAGATAAACCAGCAGGGAGAGGTGCTCTGCTGGACCTCATACAAACAAGGGAGCGCTGGTTGTCTCACAGGTATGAAGGTCAAAGGCAGGCTTGGCTGCACTGACCATGAGATAATGTAGTTCAGGATCCTAAGAGCAGGGCAAAAAGCACGATCACAGTGCTGGACTTAAGCAGAGAAGACTTTGACCCTTTCAGAGATCTTCTTGATAAAATTTCTGTGGGATAAGTCCCTGAAAGAGGGAAAAGGATCCCAAGAGAGCTTGTTAATATTCAAACTTCACCTACTTCAAGCTCAGGAACAGACCATCTCAACAATCAGGAGGGCAATCAAAGATGCCAGGAGGCCTTCATGGATGAACAAGGAGCTGCTGGCAAAACTCAGACATAAAAAGGAAGCGTGCAGAAGGTGGAAACGGGGACAGGTGACCTAGGAGGAATATAGAAATCCTGTGAGCATGTGGGGATGGGTTTAGGAAAGCCAAAGCCCACCTAAAGCTGAACCTGACAAGGAATGTGAAGACCAACAAGAAGACCTTCTATAAGGATGTAAACAGCAAATGAAAGACTAGGGAAAAGGTGGGCCTGGTGCTGAATGGAGAAGGGGACCTGATGACACACGAGACATGGAAAAGTTTGGGGAAGTGAATGCCTTCTTCACCTCAAGTTTTATTAGTATGACCAGTATTCAGAAATCCCAGGTCCTGGAGACCAGAGAGAAAGTTTGGAACAGGGAAGTGTTACCTTTGGTGAAGAGGGTCAGGTCAGAGAATACTTAAAAAAAAAATGGACATTCATAGGTCCATGGGCCCTGGTGGAATAAACCCACGAGTGCTGAGGGAGCTGGCTGATGTCATTGCAAGGCCATTTTTGATCATCTTTGAAAGATCATGGCAATCAACAGAGGTACATGAGGACTGGCAGAGAGCAAACGTCATGCCTATTTTAAAAAAGCACAGGAAGGAGGACCCAGGGAACTACAGGCTGGTCAGCCTCACCTCAGTCATGAAGATACAGAACAACTCATCCTGGAAATAATTTCCAGGCACATGAAGGACAAGAAGGTGACTGGGAGTAGCCAGCATGGATTTACCAAGTGGGAGGTCATGCTTGACCAACCTGATAACCTTCTATGAAGGTCTATATATGAAATGCCTGGCTTAATAAATGAGAGCAATGGATATTGTCTACCTTGATATTAGAAAGGCTTTTGACACAGTCTTCCATAAGATCTTGGGGAGGCTGATGCAGTATGGACTGGATGAGCAGACAGTGAGGTGAATTGCAAACCTGTTCACAGCTTTGCTGAGACGGTTGTGGTCATTGACACGAAGTCCAGTTGGTGGCCAATAACGAGAGATGTACCCCAGAAGTTGGTATTTGCTCCAGTACTCTCTAATGTCTTTTTTTAGTGATCTGAATGCTTGGACAGAGGGCACCCTCAGCAAGTTTGCAGATGATACAAAGTTAGGAGGAGTGGCTGGTACAGCAGATGGTTATGCTGACATTCACAGAGACCTCGACAGGCTGAAGAAATGGGCTGGCAGGAACCTCATGCAGTTCAGCAAGGGGAAATGAAAAGTCCTGCACCAGACAAGGAGCAACCCCATGCACCAAGACATAGTAAGGGCTGCCCAGCTTGAAAGCAGCTTTGCAGAAAAGTATCTGGGTGTCCTAGTGGATGCAAAGTTAAATAAGCCAGCAATGTACCTTTGTGGCAAAGGCCGACAGCCTGGTGGGCTGCATTAGGAGGAATGTTGCCAGCAGTTTGAGGTAGATGAACCTTCCCTTCTGTTCAGCTCTAGAGAGGCCACACATGGAGTATTGTGTCCAGTACATGAGAGAGATGATTAAGGTTTTGAGCATCTTCCATTTGAGGAGTGGCTGAGTGATATTGGACTGTTGAGCCTGGAGAAGATAAGGCTCAGGGGCATCTCATCAGTGGGTATAAATACCTGATGGGAGGGTGCAAAGAGAATGGACTCATGTTCTTTTCTGTGATGCACAGTGACAGGACCAGAGGCAATGGGCACAAACTGAAATGCAGGAGGTTCTGGCTAAACATCAGGAAACGTTTTTTACAGTGATGGTGAGAGGTGGAACAGGTTGGCCAGAGAGGTTTTGGAGTCTCCCTCCTTGGAGACATTCAAAAGCCATGTGGACATGATCCTGGACAGCCTGCTCTACATGGTCCTGTTTGAGCTGGGGGGTTGGACAAGATGAGCTCCAGAAATCCCTTCCAGCCTTAACCATTCTGTGATTGTGTGATATGCACTTTACTGACCTTCCAGAAGTTATACTTTAAAGTTACAAGTGCTTTCTTATGGTAACATATGGGAAGGGTAAGCATTCACATTCTTGGTACCTACTGCACTCTTCACTGAGGGTGGTAATTCAGCTTTTCTTTCCATGCTCTGCCACTGTTAAGGTTAAGCTTCCTTGGAAGAATAAGGTAAATAAAAATCTGAGAAAAATGTGTAGTAAAGTGGCAAATGTAACTGCCAAAGTTACATATGAATTTCCTTTTCTTGTTTATCTCAGCATGTTTCTTGAACAAGAGGAAGTCAAATGCGTAGTTCCTGCAAGCTACACTGAAACAAAGATTTCTAGGTGGAAATATAAATACAGTGAAACTAAGAGGGGACAGGAGAGGAAATGGGACAAGCTACATATTAGATGTGACCAGAGTTCCTTGTATATTAAGGTAATTTCATTATGTCAAAGGCTTATTTATTTATTTTCAGAAAATGCTCGAAAATGATCCAAAATTAACATCTTCAGAAAAGAGTTCATCTAGTGGTTCATTGTAATAAACGTAAGTGGAAAGGTGGTTTCTTAGCTTAGATCATTCAAAAAAGGAGCTTGCAGAATCTTCTAATACAACTGTGGCATGTGCTCCCTGAGGCACAGAACTGGTGTAACCTCACCTTTACTCTCATGAATTGGCTTAACTGCTGGTTTGCTGTGTGGCTTCTGGTGGTGGGAGTTAATTCAGGAATATCCTGCAATCAGTGTTCTGTGGTGGTCAGATGAGGTAGATACTGTGGTCTCTTCTGGTATTATGATTTACAGAGCTATTTGGTTATTGTGAAATTTGCCTATTCCATAAAATGACTGAGAATTAATGCTCAGTTAAAGCTCCTGTAGTGTGCAATTGTGTGAAAATAAGGAGGATTTTTTAATATTTTACAGGTGAGTATGATATGTGGATATAATGTATGCAGATACTGGTGTATGTACATACACATACAGACTCATACCCTCCCCGCTACCTGTGTACTGGCTCTGTATATGTATATAACATCATGAATGAAAAATAAAGCTAAATATATTTCCATGATTCCTCAGGTCAGAGATTATATAATGAAGAGTATTACTCTTCAGAAATACTAAATAAATACAAACAGGGAAGAAGGATAATGTGGAAATTTTACCAGCAAAAGCTTTTATAATACTTCTGCCATGCAAGTCTGATTTACTCATATTTTATCCATATTAGCCAAGTAATTAGCCCCATGCTATTTGTAGAATAGTTGTTTCCAAGAAAAACACTTTGTGGAGTAGAGGCTAACATTTGCCTTTATTGTTACTAGTTTTTGAGGCAAATTACATTATTTTTCAAAAGTATTAGTATTTCCATGAAAGTCCATGAAAACAGCAAAAGTGCTGAATGAAAATCTTTTTGGCCTGGTAGTAATTGTCACTTCACTTTGCTGTAAGTAATTACTATTTTTTTTAAATCTCATAATGCCAATTTAAAGGCCTTATTCCTTATTGCTAATTTTTATCATTCATATTGCAGCCTGATTTATATTCTGAGGAAAATGAAAAAATTACATTTCCTTTTTTGTATATCAGTAAAGACCTTTATATTTTGAGTTTGGATAATTGTACTTCCTATGTTATAAAAGAGCTTTGCAACTACTCTGAATGATTCCAGAGGCTTTTTTGCAGTTCAGTTAATAGTATAGACAAACTATTGTTTTTATGGGATTGAAAATTTTTAAGATCTCAAAAATGAGAACTTTTAACAATAAGATGGATAAACTATTAAGCATTAAGAAAGATAACTCTTGATATTCAACACAGGATCAGCATCCCTGGTGGTGTACCTCTCTGCAGTGCTGAGAAGTCAGTCCTTAGGAGATATACCAGTTGATAAGAAATTGTGTTTCTCTGGTAGTCATGGATTTATGCAATGAAGAATTTCATATTTTCTTCCGGGGGGCAGTGATTCTGAATTGTTCTGACATCTTTCTAGTGCAGTAGAAAATGCTTTCCTGATTATGAAGACAGAGATTAAGAAGCACTTTTATTCATTAATGGTTTTAAGAAATGTTTTTGTCCAGATGTTTTGTGTGAAGACATTTGATTTGGTACTTCTGGCAAATCCTGCTCCTAACAGGAAGGAGATGCAAAGTTCTTCCTGAATGGGAACAGCCCTGAGTTTTGATTCAGTGAAGGATGTGATTATTTAAAGAGATGCAGCATTCCAAGGATGCTTCTGAACACCACAACAAAGATTGTGTCCTGTGGGCTGTGTCTTTTTCATTTGCTTTCAATAATTGTGTCTCTAAGTTGAGTTTACTTTCCTGCCAGTTCTGATCAAAGCATTTTCATAATAAACTGATTTCTTTTCATTTTGGTCTGTCTGCCAATCCAAATAACAAAAAGTATTGCTGATAGCTGTCTGATTTTTTTTTAAAATATTTTTTTCTTTTTGTCTCTCTAACAGAGCATCTGTGGAAAAGAAAAAGGAGAAAAAAATGAAGTACATATTCTTAATATTTTTCATGAATTTATTACCACAATATGCTGGGAAATCTTTGAGAAGAGATGACAGTTACCTGAAAACATTTGAAGACATTAAAAATGAGATAGCTGGCTATACTGATATTGCTAAAGCAATTATTGATCTTGCTGTACATGGAAAAGCTCAGAACCGATCCTATGAAAGATTAGCAGTTTTTGCTGATACAATAGGACCCAGACTCAGTGGTTCAAAAAATCTAGATGCAGCCATCAAGTATATGTTCAGTGCCCTGCAGGAAGACAGGCTGGAAAATGTACATCTGGAGCCTGTGAAGGTACCACACTGGGAAAGAGGAGAAGAGTTTGCAATGATGCTGGAACCAAGGAATCACAGCATTGCTATTTTGGGACTTGGGAGCAGTGTTGCAACTCCTCCAGAAGGTAACTCTTCCATTTGGAATTAAGTATCTCTTGCTTTTTAATGCCAAACTGTATTATACCCCTTTTCTTAATGGTCAAACTGAAGTTTATTTCCTGCTATAATAGTTCTGCCACACAAGGTGATGTTTTTCTGGGACTTTTCTGTATGACATGGTTGTGAATGATGCTGTTTGGTTTAATTCAGTTTAGTTGAACTGGCTTCTAAAGATAGAGTTGATTCCTGAACTCTCCATTAAATCTATATCCTTTTGCATAACACTGCAGAACCTTGTTTGAAAAGATGCTGCTCCTCCTTTGAGATTGGTTGGAAACTTGTTCTTGTAATCTGGGGTTTTCCAGCCCTTTGTTTTTCATTTTGTCCAGAGCAGTTATCCATGGAGTGTTGAATTGACATGTAATTTCTGCTCTTCTTGCCATGCCCTATCCTGCCAAGCTCAGCACTTCACTCTGGCATAAAACAAGACAGCAGAAAGAGGAAGAGAATTTCATGCTGAGCTTGGAAAGTGCCAGCCCCTTGCTAAGTATGGCAGTTGGTATATGTGTGTCCTTTCCTTCCCCCTGTCTCATGCTCACCCAGACAAGTCTTTGGCACTTACCTGTAACCGAACTGTGTGTTGCCTTTCGGTGGATTGTATGTGATATGTTGTTATACTTTGGAAACAAGAATGATTGTTAGCTGGACTTAGCAAAATTCAGGTGTTTTGAGCCCCAAATTATTAGCTCGTTTGCAAATGAAATGATTTACAAGATTCCCTTTTTGAACATACTGATGTGAGTCTTTCTCAGGATTGCTATTTAATGGCCAGATGACAACCTACTTCATAAATAACCGGAGACTTATTTCTTGAGTGCTTCAAAAGCATTCTTATTCCTTTATGAGAAAATAAATTTAGTTTAGGAAATAAAAGGTAACATGATACTCATAATTATTTTTATGAATTATGTAAATTTTTGTGATAGTGAACTTTGTTTGAAATGAAATAAATAATGAATAAAAGCTGGTTTTCTTTAGAAAAAAAAATAGCCCTTCAAAAGACAACGCAGTAAAACTGGGTAATTTAAGATATGTTTGGAATAAATCTTTCTTGGTCTGGGAAACTGCTACTGTAAATTTTGTCTGAGGTATTTGTCATATTGAGGTAACTGCATGCCTAAAATGCAAAACAACTAAACCCATTAATAATATCTGTTTATCGCATGGTATGTCTAAGGCTTAATGCTTTGGTAGGAGAATATTTACAGCAAAGGTTAAACCTACAAGTTATTTTGTATCCTTTCCAGCCCTATTCCAAGCTTCCTTTTTAGGAAGCTAAAATTAAAATGGCTTTTTTGGTGTTGAGCAAGTGTTATTGAACCTGCAAAGAGCAATGTAATCTTGGTGAACATCTTCACATTCTGAGAAGTCTGGTTTTTGCTTCCCTTTCTTACCTGTGTAGTTATTTGTACTTACTTTGTCTTACTCCTAGGTTTGACTTTTTTCGTTTAGAGACATACTGAATTTTCATGTTTAAAAATACTCACAGAGGCTAATCATGTCCTTCTTTTTCATCTGTAAAGATCTTATTATACTGATGACTGAATGATTGGGCTAGTACCTGTGGCTGATGATGTCTTGGAAGATAAGATTGTATTATCTAGCGCTGGTTTATACTGAGTAACATTCAAAAAAACCTCACATTATTCTTCCTCACCTTTTTACTTTCATCTGAGATCTGCTGTGTTTCTGAAGGGTGTATGTGTTGGTGCTAGAAGACTGCATGTCAGTGAGATCTCTCACAGAAGAGTAAGCAGTTTCTCACACTTGGTGGAATAATTTTGATTAAATTACCTACCTTCTGACTTAAAATATATCGTACTGTTCATGGCTGTTATAATTTCTGCTGGTCTCATCTTGCTCTGTGCAAGGTGTGACAGGTTTTTGTGCTTGAAGAAGTTATGTGGGGTAGCTGATCCCTGGTGAGCTCTTGGCTCCTGTTCTTCCGATCGCTGGACCGGCCGCCTGACTGGCGGAAATGCCTGTTGAGAGCTGCTTGTCACCAGCATCTCTGGGCAAGAGAATTGCAAGGTGTGCTGCTCAGAAAAGCGCCTGTCCTAAAACTCGCGCTCATCCCAAGCACAGAATAAAAAATATGTGGTTAGACTATTAAAACCACCATCTCATCACTTCTGAGGAATTCATTCCCAGATCCGCTCTCTCTGCTCTAACCAGCAATTGTCACTGTGCCCTATTCATGGGAAAAAGGGATAGGCGGCTGCCCTAAATCACATCAGAAATATTTGAACAATTTCCCACAGTGAGGGAATATCAGCAGTTCTGATTTGTCTCATTTTTGCAGAGAACTTGTGGGAGTGTGAGTCATCCTGCAATCAAAGAAATACAATTCAGTATGAGATTCTTGATGCTGATTCTCCTGGCATTGTGCTGCTGTTGCTGCATGGGATCAAACTAAGGAGATCTACCGCTGCTACGCTGAGCTTTGCCAGAAGGACGTGTTAAAGGCCAGGGACTGGTTTTCAGATGTTGGCTTCATGAGCTGGCCATTGGTGCCTGGATTCTGCCCAGGGGCAAAGACATCCTTCAGAGCTGCCTCTAAAGTGAACTGTACAGGAGATCCCTGAAGGTGTTTGGTATTAGCTTGACAGATACTGTGCACTTTAAATCAGTTTTCCCATCAAGGATATGTTTCAGACCTCTCAGTTTACAAACCACTCTCTCTGTAGAGCCCTGACAGATAGCTTCTTTGACACTACTGATGCCTGCTTAGAACCAGAGGACAGCACTGGCTAAACTTTTTGTCTTTTAAGTCTGAGGATAGGGTTAATACAAGAGGGGGTGACTCCCCCATCCCAGCAGGAGGTACAGGAGACCTTTTCTTCCTTTCTCATCCTCTCAGTTATCTCCTATATTCTCTCTTCCCACTATGGGCCCCCAGGCTTGAGACCTGATGAGCTAAGAAAATAGGAAGCATTGGCAGAAACTTAAAATATTGGTTCTTTCTGGATGTGCTTCATGTTTGACTTGGTGGCTTTGGTGCCCTCAGAGCTCCACCTGGAGCTCAATGCCCTGAGCTAGTGCTCTGAAGGGCTCTTTATTAACACAGCAGTAGCCTATCAATGGTTAGAAACCTGGCTTTGGATGTTGGAAATTCAGGGTTTATTTTCCTTTCTGTCCACGGAAATTCACACCAGTGTTTCCTAAGAGTGACCCAATGGCCAGAGCACATGCTGAGGCTGCTCACTTTCCATTTTGGCATGTGAGTATGGAAAAATATTTGTGATTCTTGGGGCAGCAACAGAAAGCCTTAAATAGTAGCAATATTTTAGCCATGGAGCCCAAGCCAGCATTTACTCCAGGATACAAGGTCTCTTCCTGCAGGTCTTCTACCTAATCCATGCCTAGGGTTGAAAACATTAGGGGACGTGGACAGAGCTTTAACCGTTTAGTGGATTTGATGTAATTTACACATGTTGACTCAGATAGGAATTTGGCATAGAGCTGGTTGGCTCACTTGGGGTTGAAACAGTTCTGATTATGTGCAGGAGGCTTTTCAGTACCTTGTGATCTCATGGATAAATCCATATTTCCCTATTCTTCTTTAGGACGGGGCAACATGCCAGGATGTCAAGTTTCCAGATTCAGTCTGATCTACACAGCAAAAAGGGACAGCACAGAAAAGATTAGATTTTTTTATTGAAGAGGAAAAAAAAGTTTTCCCTTTCAGTGTATCCCAAGATTTGAAGGTGGTGTGTCAAAGAGAAAGTTTTCCTTTGATCTCCTTACCAGGAGGGAGTTACTTTCATGCCTGTCTTAGTGACAGGGAGAGAAGAAACTTGAAACACAAAGTGGCCTGGATTTCCAGAAGTCAGCAGAGATTGAAAATGGTCACCACCTCGAAGAAATGTATTGCTAGGTAACAAACAAGATTGAATGTTAGAAACTGCTTGGTTTAGGGAGCTGACTAACTGGAGGTTAATTGTATTTAGTGAATGTCCTTGTCTCATTTCCAGTGTTTCAACATTGGCAAAACATACAGATATATATGTAGAGAGGCTGTGTTGATTTCTGGTAGTACTGATTATATCCCCCAAATTCTGAGGAAAATAGATATAATTGTTGCTTTGAGAATCCCATAATTGAAGGAAAGTAGTAGTTTAGCAGATGTTTGACCATAAAGTATCAAAGAATTCATATTTTTTGCATGTGTTTTTAAATGCTTTTTTTTTTCCTGATGGGTGACCCTGCCCTTTCATTTTATAAAAATACTGACAAGTAGAACCAACCCAGAATGCAGCCTGTCTGAAATGCCTCCTCAAAAAAGCAACAGTCTCTGGTTTCTATGTACTTTTTGTTGCAGCAAAACTGAAATAATATAAATATGAAGATCTGTTGGCAGACTTTTTACCAGTTTTTGTGTTGAAGTTGTGGATTTTTTTGTTTAACTATCAACAACATTTGGTCCAGTCCTGCTCTTATAGAAGGTGGTGGGAGTTTTGTCACTTAGATAATATGAAAATAGTTCCAGCCTGTTATTTATAAAATGGGGATAATGTGCGTCTTGAGGCTGTTGAAGGTGTGTACTGTTGCTATAGGCTCACAGGCTGTTTAAGCCAGGGATGCTGCTGAAATAAGTGATCTGTCCCCAATCCTAACTAACGTATTTCTCCCCATTGTTGACCCTTCTTTTTTATTTCTCAGTGGTGAAGTGGGTTAGGGAATTCAGCTAAATTAACGAAAGGCCAACAAAAAAGTTAATGTGTCCCTTGAGTTACCAGCATCTTGGATGCTGACCTACTGGGAGAGAAGGAGATCCTTCTGGAGGGACTTGGGTACCCCCTTTGATGAGAGGTTCAGTGCTGAGAACAGGGGATGGAGAGAGTTATAGGCATGAGATCAGAGTGCACAGCAAAGCCCTCCTTCTGTCTTCACTGGATCCCTCTTTTTCTATGTGTGAGGAACTATTGATCCACATCTTGAGACCATGAGCCTCAGGATTGGATGC